CATCGAACACCACATCCCTAGAGATCACCACCTTGCCTCTCTTAGGATCATAAAGCCGATAGGCCTTGCTGCCCTCCTCGTAGCCCAAGAGCACCATCGACGTGCTCCTATCTTCTAGCTTGCCAAGGTGAGGCTTGGTGTTCTTCACATGGTCGACACAGCCAAATGTCCTAAGGAAGGACACATTCGGCTTGCGTCCATGCCAAGCCTCGAATGGCATCTTCCCTCTAGGGCCTTGGTGGGCGCGCGGTTGAGGATAAACAGCGCCGTGGTCATCGCCTCTCCCCAGAACTCCACCGACATCTTCTTAGCCTTCATCATGGATCAAGCCATGCCGACCACCATCTGGTTCCGTCGCTCCACCATGCCATTCTGCTGTGACGAGTACGACGCGGTGTGGTGTCGCACCACGCCCTAATCCATGCAGTACGCAGCAAATTCCACCGAAGTGAATTCGCCGCCGCGATCAATTCGTAGCACGCGCAGCTTCTTGCCACTCTCTGCCTCCACGCGTACCTTGAACTTTTTAACCGCTTCCACTACCTCGGTCTTGCTAGTCAGAAGCTATAGCCACATGTATCGGCTGCAGTCATCCACCAGCAAGATGAAGTACTTGCGCTCGTCGGGCGTCGTCGGCGTGATTGGTTCACAGAGGTCACCATGGACCAGCTCGAGGTCCTCTACCGCGCGGTACTTCGCCGTCTTTGGGAACGACAGCCTTCTTTGCTTCCTGGCCAGGCAGCTGTCACACAGCTCGCCTGTGTGCTCGATGTGAGGCAGCCTAGTAACCATCTTCTCTAGCCGACCAAGAGCGTCGAAGCTGAAATGTCCATACCGAGCATGCCATAGCCATGACTCCTCCGTGCACCATGCAGCTAAGCAGATGGGCTGCTCCACCTTTAGGTTGAGCAGGTATAGCCAGTTCTGAGACCTTTTCACCTTGGCAAGAAGCCGCTGCTCTCGGTCCCTGATCCTTAGGACGTCGTCCTTGATCAGTACCTCACTGCCGCGCTTATCCAGTTGGCCAATGCTAATGATGCTTGAACGCAGCTGTGGGGTGTAATATACATCCATCAGCGCGTGGTGCTCGCCGTTCTGGCACCTGAAGATGATGGTGCCGTGCCCTCAGATCACCACCCTTGAGCCATCATCGAACTTCATCGTGCCGGTCATGTCGCCGTCGAGCTCGGAGAAGGCTACCGTCGAGCCAGTTATGTGGTTGCTGGCGCCAGAGTCCAGGTACCACCGCTGCTCCTGCTCGCCGCCCACATGTTTGAGGTGGATTTGGGCACGCGGTTCATCGAGGTTGACAGCCTTTAGAGCCTTCCTAGGCCCTTCCACCGCCATCACATCTCCCTTCTCCTTGGCCTCAACGTCGTGCAGTGCACAGAACGTCGCCATCAAGAGAGTGACCTCATCATTATCATCAGCCTACGCCAGATGAACCTCAGCCTTCTTCTCCTGCTTGCGAGTTGGGCACTCCATTGCCCAATGGCCCATCTTTTCATAGCGCGGCAGGCGTTGGGATCGACCTTCTTCTTCTTCTCCGAAGAAGCCTTGCCGTGGCGCTTGCCATCGCCACCATGGCTAGAGGAGGCTTCTCCGGACTTCTTCTCCTTCATTCGGGTAGCCCACTCCTCCTCTGTCAGCAGCAGCTTGCCGTTGTCCGTCGTTGCTGTGGCCCGCTCTATGCGCTCGTCCACCGCCCGTAGACGGCCTGTCACATCCTCAATGGTGAGGGTGGACAAGTCCACAATCGTCTCTATGGAGAGAGCAATCTGGATGTACTTCGCCGACACGGAGTGGAGGTACTTGGAGACCGTCTCTTCTTCGTCGATGGGGACACCGTGGCTCCTCGGCTTGCTGATGAGCATTTGTAGGTGGAGGGAGAAGTCCTCCGCCGACTCACCATCCTTGAACTTGAGATTGGCGTACTCCTGCTCTAGCAGCTAGGCCGTCGCCTTCTTTGCACAGTCGGAGCCGACGCGCAACGCCGCAATAGCCTCCCACGCCTCCTTAGCAGAGCTTTTCGCTCCCAATGGCTCCCTGTACTCTGCTGACACAGCAGCGAGGATGGCTTTCAACGCTGACATGTCATCTTCTTCATTGTCGGTGCCCTTGTCAATGGCATTCCAGAGCCGTCGGACTCCGAGCTTGACCTTCATGGTCACCGCCCACTTGCTATAGTTGGTGCGAGTCAGCGTCGGCCAACTGGTGCCGCTGACCTCCCGTATCGTGCGCACGATGACCTCCTGTCGTGGTTGGGTAGCCACAGCAACGCTACTGTTGTCGCCCATCTCCAAACCATCCGTCATCGTCAGCGGTTAGTCCGGCGACGGCGCTTATACGGCTCTGATACCACTTGTTTATCTCTCGGCTTCCCTGCACTGGTAAGCAGTAAGCTTACTAGCACACTCACTCACTATGGCTAGATGTAGAAGAAGATATTGAGAACAACTCACACACACAACATAAGCCCAGCGTTGGCCGAAAACTCTGCTTCTGGATGTGGCAAACTGAACTGATTTGCTGTATTGACTTTGGATAGAATATATACAATTCTAGCTGTACATCTACCAGATACATAGTTATTAGTGAGTACACCAACTACCTACTATCGGAGTACAAGAGTACACCAACTATCTACTACCGGAGTACAATAGTACATTAGCTGTCTACTCCTAAGGTACAGAGTACACCAACTATTTACTCTTAAGATATAAGGGTACACCAACTACCTACTCCTAAAGTACAAAGCTTAGTTCAGCCATCTCCATTCTTCATGACTAAAGTAAACTACTACTATGACCTACTGCTTTACTAGCTACAGGAGCTGATTGGTAGAATCAATCAGTCTCCAACCTCCAACAGAAAATGGTGGGCCGAGCCGACCATTCTCAAATAATAGAGAAACGGGGACAGCAGATTAGGTCTTACACGCCCCTAACGCAAAAGCTAAAGAGGGCGGCCGGGGCGTCCAGGTTCAATGCATGTACACACGGTCCCTTCTCTTTCTCTCTCGTTTCCTCTACAGTGTGACCTGACCTGTGCCCTGTCGGTCATCCCTTTCAAACCCCACACGACATGTTTCAAAGCCAGGTCCAAATTCCAGGAGCTCTGGGCTGTAGAAAAACGGCTTTGGGGCGATGAAGAGCGGGTCATTTGCAGTATAAGTACCTTTGATCGAAGAGCATCACTCGCAAATTAAGCAGCTAGCTAGGTGAAGATGCATCGAGGACTGTTCTTCTTCCTCAAGCCGTAGCCTGTGGGAGGAGAGGCCAGAGGCCTCGCATGGAGTTCCCCCACTCACTTCTTGGTCACACATGTTCATTCCCTCAGGTAGAGAGGATCTTGTCTTGTTTTTGTGCTGATTTCTTCCTCGTGTAAGCTCGTGCGTGGGGCGATGGATTTGCCTCTGATCGTCCTCACGCCTCTTGTATCTTGATTTGGATCAATGCAAATAAATCACCGATGAGTGACGGTCGATCCAAGATGCATGTGTTTCTTGAAGTTCTGAACTTCACTAGCTATTTGCTCGACATTTCTTGTGTGCTGTATGTATATGCTTTGTGATCAATCGCCTGTATAAATGCAAAGATTGCGACTTCTAGTTCTAGTTCATGTGCTCGTACGTGTTTATCTTGACGCTGGTATCGAAAGAGATACACTTGGACCCTACATGTTGTCTTGTTTTTTAAGTAAAAAACTTAGATCCTGCTTTTTGTTTCAGTGGCGACTTAGATGTGGACTGAATTATTTTAGAACGCGCATTAGAACAAAGATTAACTATCCATGCTGTAAATTTTCTATGATTTTTCCAAGCTCCGGTAACTACTATGGTTATATGGCAAACAGAACGGCACACCTGATCAAAGATCCAAAGCATCATACAGGCACGGTTCCTAATAATAATAATACAATCTATAAACTACTCGCTCGCCCCTCTCAAATTATCTGATGCTTTAGATTTGTTCTAAGTCAGACCAATTTAACTTTACTAAATTTATAGGAAATAACATTGATGTCTATGACACCAAAACCAAATAGATATAATATGAAAATATGTTTCATGATAAATCTATAGTTATTAGTTGGTACCATAACATTATTTCTTTTGTAAAAATAAAGACTTATCAAACATGAGGCATATAGGTTACATATCAACATACCATTGAGCAAGTTGCACATGCTTCTAATCTTTCGGCCGGCCCCCCTTTTGGATTGCGAAATTTTTCCTATGAGCCCTCAATAATCAGGGTATCTCGATTCATGATGACCAAGGATCTAGGAATCATGGCACAAATCAGCAGGCGCCAGTCGACTCCCATAGCAACACTCCCTGACCCCTACGGAGCAATACAGGCGTCACAACTCACAACAGCTGGTCGAGCAGGAGTGAGAAGGACGGAAGGCGTGTGTTTGTGTGTGTGGAGCCATGTGGTCAGTGTCAGCTGCGCATGTTAAAGCCCAGCCTGTGAAATACTATTATCGTGTGAAAGGGGCTCTTCCTCCTCCCTTGTCATCGTATCTATGACGATGATCCAATTTGTCTAGCTCACATCGACCATCATTGGTGGCAAGGGGTGTGATCCAATAGCAACATTCCCTGATCCCTACGGAACAATACAGGCGCTCCACAAAAAAACAATCTTAAATCTTAAAACAAAAAAGGCATGCAACTACACAATTCAAGCAGGAAACAGGAAACGAGTGTTCATTCACTTGAGCATAGTTTATCACATGAGCAGGGGGAAACAACACATAAACACTACAAGGTTTCTAGTTTCAACAGAGTTTATTCTCAAAGAAGAGGTGGATCCCCACGCCGGCTTGGAGATACCCACCTGCCAGTGCCGTTTCACTCCATCAGACTCGCCCATCCTTGCTATGCCAGCAGCACACATCGGCACGAGTTTTCACATAGCCCAGTACGATATCCTCATAGGCTAACTTTATGTACATAATAACTGGATGTCTGGATACAAGCAGGTCTACAAGTTCTAGCAGACTTCGGTGTCAAACTTGAGGCAGATCCCCATGCTGAAGAGTTCCTGGTAGAGCAGCTTCGCGCCATAGGGCACATTGATTCTCACTATGTTCTCCGAAGACTTGCAGAAGCCGCAGTAGGGGCCACGGATCTTTTTGCCTCCGGGGACAGACCTCATGACAACATTAGCCACGCGCTCACATGTCTGGCAGATGTGCATCTGGGAGAAGTCACTAAGCATGAAGAGGCGTTCATGCAGGTTGGCAGCTGACCCATGGGCGAGGAGGCAATCACGCTCCATTTCTCCAAACTTAACTCCACCAAACCTTTTCCTGTCGGCAACAGGCTGCCTCGTGAGGGGTGCACGGCCCAGTGTTACGGAATTTCACCTTATCTTCGGACATATGAATCAGCCTCTGGTAAAAGGTAGGACCCATGAAAACCAAGGATTGCATTCTTTCACCAGTTCGGCCATTTAGAACATTCTCAGCTCCCCAACGTGAATAACCAGCCCTGCAATGCAACAAGATACATAAAATTTTGGAAATCAACTGAACAAGTCACATAAGAAAACAAGTATACAACGCAAGAAAATAACTAAAATATTCTCATTCTCAGATGCATTACATGCAAAGTTATTTGATTATCTGAAGTAAGATCCTCACTGATAACATGTTAGTGTGTGAGCACACTCAGCTTTATATCTTCTACTAGTGGGCCACTATGGATGTCTCGGTTAAGAAAAAGATAAGCATCAACTGATAGTAATACAAGTTAAAAGGGAAAGGGAAAGTTGTGTGTTTCCACCATTTTGGAGCAAAAGATTACAAAAAGATACATACATGTGAAATTACTGTAAACTAAGAGATACTAAGAACAATGCAATACATGTTTACTCAAATGACCAATATACAAAATACGAGGTTAGCCAACAGCCATTCTGTGCATGTGTATTTTATTTCCCTACCTTTCTTTTTCTTTTTCTTCTTCTGTATGTGTATTAAGCAGTGAAGTACTAACAGAGTTAAGACTTGAGAGCATAGGGTGCATTAATGACGTAAAAGGTTCTTATAAGATGTACTAGTAAGCTTAACGATTACAAAGTTCAACTAAAAGAAGAAGAAACACTTACTTGTGCAACTGTTCTGTAATAATGTCAACTGATGCTGTGGTGAATGGTGTTGCGTATCTCATTGTACCTTTGCAGGCTATTCCCTTCCCCAGAGCAGCTTCAAGCAGCTGTCCGGGAGTTTGACGTGTTGGGAAGGCATGTGGATTTATCACAATATCCGGGACTATACCTTCGTGAGTAAATGGGAAGTTCTCTTGAGATTCTAGAAAACCAACAACACCTTTTTGGCCATGCATGCTGGAAAACTTATCTCCAAGGCAAGGTGTCCGAACCTAAAATCAGATCAACAAAGAAAACTTCATATGGTCAATAAAAAGTAACATATGTGGTGTAAATGTGAAGGTGGGGACGCAAAGAAAATTAGAATAGTCACATTATAAGTGTTGGAAGGAATCTAAGGAAATGGAAAAGGGTGACTTGAGCTGCTGGCCCAACCAAGCCAGCAGCCTATCTGGGCTCAATCATGTCCTAAAAGTCAAGAACAAGGAGAAGCCAAATTCTTATTATTACTTTTTTGGGGTATGGGGACGTGGGGTGGATCAATGCAATCATGTAAAGTACTGAACCCCATAAAAAGGTACTACCCCTGTTTCATAATACTTGTCAGATTTGATTTTCTAATTATCTATAATTTTTTAGATATATGGTTCAATAGTGTGAAATTACCATTGTAAGAATTGCCAACATTGGTACCCAAAGAATATATGTACTTAGAAATATTAGCGTGTGTTGAAGTTACATCCTAAAAGCTAATAGTGCCAAGTGTTGTAAAAGAAAAGAGGTAATAAAGTCGAACCAAGTTTTATTTTAACCATAAAGGATGAAGTACCCATGAGCGCACACTGATGCTTGTCTTTCTTATCATCCATGATCTCCTCTTAATTGCATGGCAAGAATATAGGCATAGATAATTCATTAATATTTTTGGGTTAAAAAAGGAATGTCAATAAGACCAACAATAATCGCTCAAGAGCAAGATAACTACTGGGTTAAATAAAAATGTCAGGTACACAAAACAGGCAACATGCTTAACTGACAGCCAATGCAGCTACAGATGGTTTATGTCAATTGGTGGAACAGTCAAGAGAAGAATGCAGCATTCTATTGTCAAATAAGGTCCGTACGCTCGCTAGTGAATCCAGAATTCAAGGAATGTACTAATTGGTTAATGCTTAATACTTCTTTGCTAAGACAAATGTCATTTAGGTCTTGTTTGGCTGCACTCGTATCCACCTCATTTCCACCCCAATTCACCCCAAGTTCCCAACACATGTGGAATGAGGAGCAGCCAAACAAGGATTACCTGTCTTAGAGTAACAACAGCAAAATTCTTCCCTTCATCATTTGCTGAAAGCAATACTTTCTGAACCATTCCCTTTTCTGTATGCTTCAGCTTAATACTGTGGTCTTCTCCAGATTCTGAGACTTTTCCAATAACGATGTCATTGGTCTGAAGACTTGCGCCAATGTAAGGTAAGCCATCATCATCAAGATTGTCAACACGCCCTCTTTTGCTTTCTATTTTTCCAAAGTCTATCTTTTCCTTCAATTTCAGTCGCTTGGTTCCATCCTTGTTTTCTACATCTGTCTTATAGCTCCTGAGGTGTTCAGTCCTAAACATACCTCGTTCAAGAGAAGCCCTATTCATAACCAGGGAATCCTCTTGGTTAAACCCCTGATGAACATTCACTGCTACAATTGCATTTTGTCCATTGAAATATTCTGGTCTCGCGAAGTCATCTTTTCTTCCAAAAGTAGTATAATCTGATCTGCCAAGACAGTCAGCTATAACTGTTTTGAAAAGAGGCCTCTGAGGATAATATAGTTGATGAGAAAGAGTATCAACTCTGATGTGTGGATTTGTCGTTGAGTACCCAATAGCTTGTTGCGAGTGTTTTTCAGATTGGTACAATACCCTCCGAGCAAAATTGTGGTTTGCAAAAGGAATGATACCACAGCTTAATCCCATAAGAAAGGAAGGATCCAGCTCACAGTGAGTATAATTAGATATAGCTCCTTCACTCTCAAACAAATGCCTGATTCCCCACGCACATTGTATATCTTCTTCCTCTTCAACACCAATGAACTCAATTATTTCTTGTTGCATTAATTCCTGGAACGAGAATGAACGCCCCTTCGGTTTTCTGATTTTATTAAGATTCTCAACCACAAGAAGGGGTCTGAGGATTCGCCCTGCATCAGAGAACACACGAACCTCCTTGTGGTGCTTGTCCCTTTTAATTTCAACCTAATAATATGAAACGAGAAACATAAGAAACATTATAAAGAACATCTTGGTGTGGAATATTAGTATGCAGTACTGAGAAGGTGTCAACAACTAAAAGCAACCGACATCCTCACATTTGTGCATTGAGAAAAGGATGCAACCTAAAATTACATGACTCAAACACAACAGTTGAGATAGGCAGGAAATGTTCAGCAGTTAACTGAAACAGAAAAGAAAGAAAGAATACAATTTGGGAAATTGATAATAAACAAACTAATATAACAACTTGGTCACTTCAAAGGAAATGATTTTAACTTATTTATACTCGCTCATTAACCAAATTGCAAAAAAAAAACATTTATCCTCAAAAAAATAGGTAATAGATATAAGACAGAGCACCAAGATTGCAAAGGAATTCGCTCAAAAAAAGATTGCAAAGGAGCCAAACAAACTAATATAACAACTTGGTCACTTCAAAGGAAATGATTTTAACCTATTTATACTCGCTCATTAACCAAATTGTGAAAATCATTTATCCTCAAAAAATAGGTGATAGATATAAGACAGAGCATTAAGATTGCAAAGGAGCCAAGGAAAACCATTATTATTCAAGCAGACTTTATAAGCAAGTTATATGGATCAATGTATACTAAAGATGAAAAACTTTTGTAAAATCAATGACAGGAAATTGGGACTCTTCTAAAACAAAACATTGTAATATATGGAACCTGCACACCAAGCATCTTAGTAAAGGCTGCAAATAAGTTAAAGCAGAAAGTGACCAGCCATGAGAAAGAGAGAGAACCTGAGGATCAATCATACTGCTGCGTCTCATGCACCTCAATCGAAATACAAATGAAGCTGAATCTTTACAAGATCCCACCCAATTGCCATTCAAAAAGATCTTATCCATTCTTTGAATGTGCTCAGTAGGAATGTCATTCAGCTTACTCATTCCACAAGAAATGAAGCTCTCAATCAAGGGCTGCCCCACCCTTGAGCTAACAATAGCAGTAACAGCTAGATTTTTACAAGTCCACAGTTTTCACCATCCGAGTGGACAAAAAACACAGCTTTCCCCAATAGGATGGATTCCTGTACGTAAGGGTTTAGTTTTAAGTCGCTCCATGTTAGGAGATACAAAAACACAAGATGGACATGCAATACTTGGTTGCTGAAAAATAAGATACTTACGGATATCTTGCATCACCAGCTTTCCCAGCATAAGCAACCCGCTGCCGGGTTTTCCTCAAGTCAGACATCATTTGAAGAGGATTAGTTCTCCTTAGAGTCGCAACAATTCCTGAGCACCGTTCAGCTCTTTTGTAGGGATGGCACCAAGAACCAGTGGAAAAGGCACGATTTAGACCATTAGTAACAATCGATGCATCTATATAACGTTCAAGATCTTGTAACTCGCGGTCACTATTTAAATCTCTTTGAATGGCCTTAACCATGTGTCTCTCTAACAGCCTAAGATGTGCCCTAAGTTCCCTTCCAAGCAATTCACCAGGTAGGTCCAGCCTCTTGTTCCTGAAATCATCCTTATTATCACATTTACGCTTCCCAGTAAAAGCCATTAGCAGACATTTCACCATGTACCCTAAGAAAAATGCTTTGTTCCTATTTCCATTAATATCAGGAAAAAGAAACCTAGCAACATAGTCATCAAAGGACTACCGGAGGAAATCTCGAACTTTTACCAACTCATCAACATATTGACGAGCTTTATCCATTTATTTAAAGCCTTTACACAGTTCATCAGATTCTTTGATGGTTGCAGATATCGTGTTGATAACAGAAGCATCACAATCTTGCATATCTATCACATCAAAGGCTTCCTTATCTGATGATATTCCAAGTGCAAAGAACAACAACCAAACTGGCATTGTCGCATACAAAAAGGAAATGGAAATGATTTTGCTCCCACTGAAATCTTCACTCCTTGTAGATTCAACTAGTTTAATATATATACGTCTACGCTTCATTTCATGCATAAAAGAGATCATCCAGCAAGGACGGTCACTAATCCAAAGCCTCTTTAGACATCTTTGCTCTTGAGCAATGAATACCTGCAGGTATGACAACAATAGAAACATAGTTAGATGACAGAAAAATACTATATGTGATTCAAAGGGCATTCTCTTTGCAGTAAAAAGGCTACGACTCAGATAGTCACACCCCAAAAGGAAACTCCAAATGAACTTAGCAAATAATCGGGTATCTGAAATCGTGAAATAGTATCTGAGTATGTCATCAGCAGATCCTCATCGTTCCTGTAAATAATTATCACTGGAACTTTGAAAATCTATTAGAATCTCCAAGATGACTAAATAACACACTGCAGCTCATTTAGACCTGTTGGATACGTGAATCTCCAAGATTTTTTATTATTTTCGTGAATTTTGAGTACATGGCCTGATACGTATGCCTATTGGATACGGCCCAGCCCAACAAGAAACAATGCTATCTCCAAATGCCCCCGACGCCATAGCCCCTGACGCTGGAACGCCCGCACCCTCGCGCTGCCTCCCGGAAACTCGGGCGGTACGCACGCCTCGTCCCGCTCGCCGGCCGCCGGCGACGAATCTCTGCCCCCGCAACGTCGATCCAGCGACCCTCCGACTCCCGTGACGGCCGTGAGTTCATCCACTTCCCTGTTCTCACTTCTCGATCTACTCTACTGTTGCTTGATTTCTTTGCTCCTCACTGAGGCAACTGTCAAGAAGAATTGATGCATATAAGACAGTGGGATGTGGGAGGAGATTCTTTTGATTCGCTTGGTGGTATTGGCATTCTCGAAGTGGCTGACCTCTCCCCCTTGATCTCTTCCCCTTGATGAGCCTGAATTGCAAGCTGTGTCTTTTGGTTTGGGTGATCTGCGGCTTGATGTTGTGGACGAGAATGAAACAAATGAGGAAATAGGAACTTGATGTGAGCCTGAATGCCTTTTATTACTTTCCTATATTTGAGACTACTATAAAAAAAAAGGGCGTACCTAGTGCAGAGAGCTCCCGCTCTGTGCGGGGTATGGGGAAGGGTGTCAGTGGCAAGCCTTACCCTCGCCTGTGCAATGCGAGGAGACCGCGACTCGAACCCGGGACCTTCCGGTCACAGGCGGTAAGGCTCTACCGCTTGCACCAGGCCCGCCCTTCATATTTGAGACTACTATATTTGAGAATTTGGGACTTGAGACCTGCTGTTCTGTAATAATAGAACTTAAGTATTTAAGTAGATTGCAATGTTTTGTTGTTTTATCAATTTAAATGTGTTATTATCTTTTTAATTTTAAATAGTAAAACGTATCCGCGTACGGATTTTTTTTAGGAAATTGCCGTATCCTTATCCTTCCAATACCGATACACGTATCAGTATCCGTGCTGCATAGTTTAGGCCTGTGTTGCATGGATACGTGTGATGGGCAGTGTATCCCTTATCAGATATGTATCTGATACGGATACGCAAAGGATACAGCTCCGATATATATCTGCAGCGTATTGGAAATGAAATAAATCCAACAAATGTCGTTACGCACCGGCGATACGTATCTGGGACAGACCACCAATATGGCCCATCCCAAGTAACCTCCAACACTGCATCCTTATCCACTCCCACCACTCCCACGCTGTTCTGCGTCTCATTCGCTGCATCGTGCCGCCGCCCGCACACACGTGCACCAGCGCATCAACACAGCACAGACAAGCGCTCCCATCCGCTGGCTGCCGGCGACGAGCCTCCGCCACACTGGCGACGCACCTCCGCCGCTCCCGATAAGAAGCTCCACCATGCCCCCACGTCGCAGCATGCACAGGCCCCTAGCAGCGATTCAGTGACGAGCCAACGACAACCCTCTTGTTGGCTTTCTATTCTCGAATTAGTCATGTTCTTCAGTTCTTGACCTCTGCTGATTTTCCTTGTTTCCCATCCTCATCTAGTGCACTCTGTTGTGTTTTGTCCACGATTTTTCCCAGCCGCAACAAGATGGCAAATGGCATCACCAACAAATTCGAGTACTACTGGTGCTAGTGCTTCGTTCTATACTTCTATGCCAATGACACCAATGACCAAGGCCAGAGCTCATACATTGAACTTCTATGTTTTCCTACAGTGATTTATGAACTTTATTATTTGGAAAATTAGTGAATGGAGATGCTTATCTTGACTTTTGGTTGACTCAAAAATTGGAAAAGAGGAAAACACCAATATTGTAGGGTAATATCGAACTTTCTTTTGGCTGCTATTGCTTCTATAATTTTAATGTTTTATTATTTATTTAATTAAATATCATAAAACGTATCCATGTATCGTATTTTTTAGACAAATGCCTTATCCGTGTATCCATATCCGCCCAACACTGATACACATATCCATGCTGCATAGGTTTAGACACAAGAAGCTAACATATGGCACCAGGAGGAGACCAACTCAAATCACTGATGTGCCAAAGTTTCCTTTGATACGATAGAATCCTGTGTTTATATAGCTACAATCATATTTGAACATTTTTCGCCCTCTTATGAGCTACCAGTAATGCACATTACACAATTTTGCTCACTGGGTTCTAAGAAAGCTCACAGCCCTATAGTCCCATACCAGCAACAAAAGGACACTTGAAAGTTAATAGTTCAATCATCCTACATAATACATTAACACAGAGATCACAGAGTTATACCTTCTCCATTCCCTTGACCAAAAAGTATCCACCTGCATCGAACAGGCACTCACTTTCCTTGAGACTATGCAACAAACATAAGTTTGATTTCACCATAACCGGAAGGAGGCCAATAAATATCCAATGAGTTTCATTCGTGAAGTCCCTTTTTTGAACAAAACCATCATTCCCTGTTTTAGATTTGTCACTTTTCTCCAAAGAATAAACCTGATACAATGAAAAATAACCCTCAGATAATCAGGTGACCATAAAATCTAAGCAAATGTGAGTCATTATGACACCAAAACAAGTACCAAGGTCACACTACATGTCTCCAGCTTCATCATACATAAGGAATAAGTAAATGTAACAGACTCTTCAAATGGAATCGAGCAAATGGAGAAAACAAGAATAACTATAGTGCTGATGACTGATGGGATGTCCTCAAAACACCAATCACCCATCCAGTCCCAGGCTGCTTTATTTAATATTCAATCATTTAGAACTATGCTATACTTTTTTTTCCTCGTCACTGATTTTATAGCTCACCCAGGTGGCACATTTTTTTTTTGGAAAATCATGGCATATATAAAGAACAAGTAATGGACATGTTAAAGAATGAAAATACTCAGGACCTGAATAGTCACTTCTACTTTAAGTCTTGAAGCATATGTCATATTCTGGAGACGAGCATGCCAAGGTTTAAAATCAACAGAACCTTCATCTTTCCCGGTCCAAAACACAGGCTTTTCAAGCTTCACTCTCCCAAACTTGATGACGGCATGCTTCCAGCCACCTGATCCTTTCTTTGAAGGATCATAGCCAGGTTCAACAATCACTTCCCCCAGCGAATCAAAAAGCTCCTGGAGCCCATGTGAGACAAACTCATTGTAGGAATTTATCTGATGGCTAATCAGACCAACTTCATCAAAGAAGGACCTTGATGCTTCTTTACAAAACTTCTCTAGGCTTTCCACACTCATGTCGATTGGAGCATTGGAATATGGCTCGGAAGAAGACTTTCCATTAACATCATCATTGAGGGATGATTTTCCCTTAATATCCACATCCATAGAGGACTGGCCTTCATTGACATCTATAGGAGAATCCTTGCCTTCATTGACATCTATAGGAGAATCCTCGTTTCCCTCCATGCTATGGGATTTTCCTGCTCCATTGTCATCCAATACCATAGCTTCTGGCTCAGAATCAGAGCCATTTGATGGTTGCCCACTGTCCTTCTGTAGCTCTTCCATTACACAAGCACTGGCAGCTTATACCCTATCAAGTATCACAAAATCACAAATTAGTCAAATTAGAAATTAATCGTCTCAACAGAAATAATACCATACAGAGTGGACTGTTAAGATCATGAAACCAAAACAACTAAGGCATTAATGTTCTACGAAAAATACGGTCATAAGGCGCAAGGGGAATTTGCATGCATGAAGCATCTTTCCAAAGAGTTGTGTGCCTCAACCTTAGGATGGTGTTAAATCATTTATACAGCTCAGAGTATACACTGAGTTGCATAAAAACAAAAGGAGCAAGTGATAGCACATATCAGAGAAATCCAAGCAGAAAACAATGATATACAAACATCAGCCTATCACTTATCAACACCCTGGCTCATCATCAAGTGGTGACAAACTGAAGAAACTGGACGATTGCCACACATAAAACGTCAGCACAAAGCAAGTCACAACAGAGAAACCCCATCTATACTGCTGAATGGTTTTATTTTCACAGCAAGTCAGTACCGACTAACCAGTCATCAAAAGACACCAGGGGATGAAATTGACATAGGAGGCACAGCGATTCAGCTGAACCCTAGAAAATCATGGAAAATAAACTGCATTCGTTCTGGAAAATAAACTGCATTCTTCCTTGGTACGCTCTCAGATGCCCCACTCTAATAGAGTGCGGACGAGCGGCGGGTGGTGGATCCGAACCTGGTGGGTGAAGGGGAAGCTGCGGTAGGCCGGACGCGGACGCGGAGAGCGGGGTCGGCGGACAGCTGGCGGTGCGGCGAGGCAGCGTGTCGCCGGCGCCCGTGAGCGGTGGTGGGAGGCGGCGGCGGCGCGACCGCCGTCGCGCGTTCACTTGTTCCTTCGTAGTCCGTAGAGTGGGTGGGAGAGGGAGGGACGGAGGGTTCTGGCGGTGTACCGCTGCGGGAGAAAGGAGAATCGCCTCGAGTCGGGGACGGGGGGTTTAACGGGGACGACCGGCGGCGTCGACGATGCCCGGTGGTTCTGACAGGCAGGCCAGTGGTCAGAAAGTGCTCTGCGGGTCCCGGTCTCAGTGAGGAGCGCATCTCCGCCGAGACAGATCGACCGTCCATGGTGCGATGCAGGACATCCAACGGCAGAACGAACCTCATCGCGGGGATCAAGGAGGGCAAGAACATCGTGTCGTGTGATGTGATTTTCTGTGCGCGTAGAACGGGTATACTAGCTGTTTAGTGTGCCCAACCAACGGCAACGAGGAAAGGTGAAACGATCAATCGACAAAATGTGAAGCGCTCAGCCTTCGCATGTGTTCTTTTGTTACCACGAAAGTTACAACTTACAAGTGCTTTGTCTATTAGTTTAGACGAAAAATAGTGTACAATATAGAGCCTGTTTGGTTGAAACGTGGACGATTTATCTAGCAAAAAAGTATTGCATGTGCCTCGCCAGGTAAGTTGGATGGTTATGTTGTTTGGTTGGTGCCTTAGAAGACTACTATGCCTCGCAATACTAATAAATGACAGATATTATTTTCAAAGTAAATGAGTTGCGTTTTGTTATCCACCTTTAGTAGATTTATTATCAAAATAGTTTTTGTGAGGAAAAATATTTCTAATAAAACATATTTAAATATGGTACTTATTGGTTTAATGTCACCTATGCAGTTGTGTTCCAACCTCACACGAATAAAAAATAAAATAAAAGAGAAATACTGACAACTTAATAGAAAACAATAAAAAAGAGGTTAATCACTTTCAAATCAAACCAAAACGCGGTGCTCCAACGTGCAGGCAGGCAACTGAGCCAGGCGTGGGATTTTGATCGTCGTAGCTTCTAGAAACCTACTTGCCTGAGCAAAAGCCTTCTCAGGCCCGTAACCAAACGAGCCCGTAGTGTAGTGGTAGTGTAGGGGTAGAGATGCAGAAAGCACAACCTATAGGTAGGGATGAAAACAGATCGGATACGGACGGATATCACCGATATTATATTTGTTTTCATATTTCTGTTCGGATTCGGATTCGAATACGGATAGTGTCAACTATGTCGGATATGATACGATTGGATATCGACATCATAAATATGCGATTTGAGTATTCGGATACAGATACGGTATCGGATATTGAATATCCGGACTCGGATACGGACAGATCTCAACCTCTCTAAACGGATTCGGTTTCGAATACGGTCGGAAAATATCCGTACCATTTTCATCCCTGCCTATAGGTCCTCCCGTTCTCACCAAAAAAAAAAGGCCACCCATTCTAAAAAAACACTTCTTGGACAATTTAAAACAGAATATGTGGTTCACTAATGCTTGTTGGTACGTTCTCGCCATTAGCGGTATATACTGATTAGCTAGGGTTCGTGGCCTTTTCTCGACCCTGCAGAAGAGGGTCTTCTCCATCAATGCATTGGGAGAGGTCTTACCCTATGGGATCGTGCTTTTTATATTTGTACCTTACTAGCATGATGAAAACTTTTCAGATCAAACGTGCTCATCCTTCGCATGTGTTATTTGAAAAAAAAAGTTATAGGTGTTTTGCCTACTAATAATGCAAAAAGTTATACATGACTCTAGTCACTTGACTCACTTTAGTGCTTTCTTCTGTACCGATTTACTACATGATCATGTTTCCTTTAGCAACTTAGGTAACAAAACGAATTAAAAAAGATCAAGAGATCCTTCCTTTAGAAAAGAGAAGATAATACTAATGGTGGCCATTGCCTTGTTAACTGGCCCGTCAAGTCCTTAGGGGTTAAGTGTGCTTGATCTCGACAAATTTGGAAGAAACTCGCATCTACGTTGGTTGTCACAAGACTGTGTTGACAACTCTAAACCACAGGTGATCAGACAAAGATGTAAGGTCACATACAATTTGGCTAACGAGATGCTTTCCATGCCTCCATCATGGTTAAGACTGAAAATGGAATGAAGGCACCCTTTGGGGCACCATAATTGCCCGGAGAGTGAGCACCTGTTCAAACCGATCAAAAGAAAAATAAATAAATAAATAATTAGTAGAGCAAGAACTAAGGAACAACATGGATAAGAGCCCTTCATAACAACATAACAACCACAACACAAACTTGAGAATTTCATACCCCTTTGGACTGTCTACATGATGTGGAGTCATAAATGGATGTGCATGACATGATCGCCTGGAAATGGACGACGGATGGCTAATAATCTAGTTTGATTTAAAAAGCGAATATAAACAGAACAAATGCAGATCGTGAACACTTACAGGACACGATCTTAACGGCATGACATGATCATCCCCCTTTTCACCAAAAGAGTCTTGACCCATTTTTTTTGTTGGGAAAGCTACAACATGAGGCAAGTTCCCCAAGCAAATCCAAAGGGACCAATAATGACACAAATTTAATATGAAATCTACAGAATCTGTGGAAACTTTGAAAACAAATTACTCCCCCTATTCAAAATTATAAGATGTCTGGCTTTCTAGATATATAGTTTTGTTACGCATTTAAATATACAATATGTCTAGATACATAAGAAAAACAATATATCTAGAAAAAGACAAAATATCTTATAATTTGGAATGGAGGAAATACCTTTTCTGTGTTCGAACTTCTAAATTTCCACATTATTACATATTTTTCTGCAATTTTTAATAAACTATCAATTGTTACTGGTTTTAAAAATACTAGGTAACAGTGAATCCCACACTCCCACTGATTTACTAGCCTAAGGCTCGAACCCATCAGGAAGAACTAAATATTTCAGTAAATAGGTTTGCAAAAATTCGGAGAGACAACTTACAAGCTTCCATATAATTTCTGAACCCAAGTAACTATGCAGTTCTCAGCTCTTTGCACAACATCGACTAAATGCTAAAACCACTCTTGTACATAGCAAATACTATTGTTACACAATGGCCAATTGGCAAGTACTACAGTTACACAATGGCCATTTGAAAAATCATGTATATATTACATTGCAAGAATCATAATAAGAGGCATGCAAAATAGCCTAAATTCTCTGTTTGTGCTCACTACGTCACATCCTTGGTGTTTCAGGCTTTCGAACCATCAGGATTGCTTCCTAGGTTGCCTCCAACTCCAAGCATGGACATCAGCCCTCCACCGTGCACCCTTCCCTCTGGCACCACGAGCCCAAAGCTCTGGCTCCGGCTCCCTCTGTCATCCCGGCCATTGCCTGCTAGACCACAAGAAGGAGAGGCCTTTAATGAGCCAGGGACCAGCTCCTGATGTGGTATCAGGAGCCTGCCGGCGCTCTGCATGTCTCCAGACGAGTCAACACAGTCTAACCATGCGCCATGGCCGGATGATGAGATGGCATGGTCCATGTTGCTATCAGTTGCTAATGAACCAGAGACAATGCCGCTGAAGTGGGAAGGCCCGACCATGCTTCGTGCATGTCCAGGATCATGCTCTAGCTTGGAAGCCATCAGGGTCGTATGTGCAGCGCATAGACCGCTCCTTCCCCTAGCAAACTTGTCGCAGCCGTTGCTCCAAGCGCATCGCTTGCCCCCGCCATGGGCCTTGTAGAAGTCAGTACTCCCCTGTGCGCTCTTGTCGCACCCATCAAACCTGCAACGTTTGCCACCACCGTGCTTCACACAGCAATCAGAACGACCATGGGTGCTCTTGGTGCACCCAGGAACGGAGCAGCGTTTGCCCCCTCCATGCGCAACACAGAAGCTAGTTCCTCCATGGATGCTCTTTAGGCACACCCCACCTCCCTCAAAGAGGCACCTCTTCCCGCCACCATGCCCTTTGCAGAAGGACGTGCTGCCCTCTGCACCTCTGGTACAGCCATCAAACATGCACCTCTTGCCTCCACCATGAGACTTGCAAAAGATGGTGCTTCCTTGCGCCCCCTTACCGTAGTTTAGGTACTGGCACCGACGACCACCTCCATGTGAGATGCACAACCTAGGATGGCCTTCAGCACCTTTTCCCTCCACCATGTTTTATGCAGAATCCAGATTTCCCCCTTGCCGCTCTTGGGCATTCCTCAATCCCACACTGACGCCCACCACCATGAGCAATATAGAACTCTGTCTTCCCTTCAGCGCTTTTGGTGCAGCCTAACTCTTGGCAGCATCTCCCTCCTCCATGAGCTTTGCAGAATGTTGTTCGACTCTCAAAGACCTTTGTTGCAACCAAAGCTTCGCACCTCAGCCACCGCCATGAGAAATGCAAAGCCCTGATGCACCCCTTGCACCTTTTGAACACCCATTGAACCTGCATTTCTTTGGGTGGCGCTGATGACTCCTCTGCTCACCACTTGTACCGGCTACTATATCAGAAGTTGCAGCAAAAGAACAATCAGCTGTAATGGATAGGTCAGGGCTAGGATGAATCTCGTGATGATTCAGAGATCTATCATGATCACTTTCAGTATCACATCCAGTTCCATCATGCTGTTGGACATCGGTGTCTGGAGATGTTCCATTAAGACAAAGATCTTCTGATCTTGGCGCAAACAGAAGTGGCAGCATATAACCACCTCGTTTCCTTTTTGCTGAAGTTGATCCCTCATCAATAAGTGGAAAGATGATACCAGTCTTCCTTGCAAATGAATAATTCTTGCTGCCACTCGCTGTTGTAGATTGCAAATTTCTTGAGCTACATCTTGAAAGACCCAACATTAAACCAGGGTCGGTTGTGCCATAATGTTGAGTGAGCAAAGTTGCATATTGATAAGTTTTGTTTCCACCAAATGAGTGACTATCAGCATAATATAGATTTGGTGTTGGCCCAAGTCCAAGGACCAGCCTACAGCTATCATCAGGAGTGGCCAAACTTTGATCGCCATGCTGAAATGATTTTCTAGAGTTCTGTGCTATTTCTGAGCTCCTAATGCAACCCAAGTTCACGGCTGACACGGCTAGTTCTTCATTCCTGCAATTTATGGCAGATGGTTGGGCCTGGGAGATTGATGAAGAAGCTATATGTTCCTTCCCATGAAACCAAAGATTTGTCATATTGAGGTCCATCCTGCTTAGTATAAATAAGGTAGGATTATGATAGGAAGAAATTTATATGCTGTTCAGAGACCAGATGCTTCAATCCAACCAACAGAATTTAGGACTCCAGCTTTACAACTTCACCATTGAGGAAGCACATAGTATACACAAAATGAAAATACACATGGATGCTCATGTAATGTCTACCACCACTAACAAAACCTGATGTATCAGCCCTGTCCATGAGCATGAAGCTTTATTGATCCCAGATGGAAAACAATGAGGCTACAGAAACTATGGACAAATCATATGCACACTATCTTATGCATCCAGAACCCCAAAGGGACTTCATAAAATGTCCATGATCTGCAGGTGAAGCAAGTAAGACCATAAGTGAAATTGAACAAATAAGATTGAAGAGTAATAAGACAACAGTTGATTGAAGTTAATATTCCATTTTTATTAAGATGATGCAAATAATGTGAGAGGAAAAAAGGTGCAAATATCAAGCCGACTCAATGTTTTTGAAAATCTGCATGCAGCCTACATGCAAACAAACCACAAGAACCTGGAGACTGAGGTACAATTATAAATGGACACAAAATCGTACCAAAGTTAGCATATGTATCTAATGGAAACAGTGTCGACACTCAACAAGATACATAAAAACTTTTGTTGATCAGTTGATTTCACAGTTAAGTAGCATGAAAAAAAATCATGGGTATGTACAGAAGCAATAAGATTACTGAAGAAACTTAAAACGCCTGTGGGGAAGCCATCATAATGTTTGCTTAATTTGAAATAGCAGCATCATTTGAAAGACTGCAATAGCACTTATTACATCAGAATCCTTACACCAATACTCACTGACATATCTCTGTTAGTTGATCTCCACGGGCCTATTGGGCCCTTGATCTGCGCCCTGATCGGGGGCGCCCAACCCTAATATGATTGGTGGGCCCCTGTCGCACAGCACTATAAAAGATAGGTGGGGATCATGGCTCTAACTATGAGGTTGACCGGAGCCGCCGTAACCACCTACAGAAAACCTAATCCGATCTACAGAAGGGTGCTGCCAGCGACAGGAAGCCCCATCGACTCCGCCGTCGCCTCTGCATCACCACTGGACATCGTCTCCACCATGCTGGACTCCACCGCGCCGAGCTCCCTCGACACTGGCGTCCACGAGGCTGCGGCGCAACTGTGCCAGGGCGAACTAGAGGAACCCTGAGTAAGATGCTTACCCCGATCTACGGTTTAGAGGCACTATTGTTGTCCTAACAATGGTACCAGAGCCAAGGTTGCTAATGTGTAGATCTAGTATGGGGTAAAGCATTGAAAAGAAATCGAAAACAGAGGGTTCGATCCATTTCGGATTGAAACACTAACCCTAACCGGGTAAAAGAAAATAGAAAAGAGACCGGAAGGGTGGCGGGCGTCACTGACTACCGGACACCACTGCCACCGCGCGGGGAAAGGTGCCGCACTGCTGTCTTCGCCGGCGCACAGCAAGAAAAGAACTAACCCAGTTCGGACCTGAGAAGAGGAAAGAAAGAGGTCTCGGCATGCGAAGCCGAACCCTAACCCTCAAAGCACTCACTGGGGAAGAAGAACAGTGACTCCTGTGAGTCAAACCCTAACCCTAACCCCAACCCCAAATCGGTTCAACTCCAAAAGGAAAAGAAAGAAGATCCAAAAGAGAAGAAGGGGAAGAGGGGAAGGGGCTTATCTCGCCGATCTTGAATCAAAACCGAGAGAAAAACCAAATCGGGTTCAACCGAACCCTAACCCTAACTCACGACGAGGAAGGGGAAGAGAGCGATTCGGTACAATAGAAAAGAAATCAAATGAAAAAGATGAACTGAATCGATCGAAACAAATCGGGTTAATCCTAACCCTAACGATTCCCTTACCCTAACCCTAACTGGGTGAAGGAAAGAACAAAAGAAGAGGGACTCGGCCTAGAAGAGAATCAAAGCCGAACCCTACAACCCATAAAGACTCCACGGGGATGATACACAGTGAAACCCTAACCCAAGATTGTAACCCTAGAACGAATTCCCATCCCAATCGGACTCAACCGAGAAGAAGAAGCAAATTCGAAGGGGAAGAAGGGGAAGGGGAGGCCTACCTCGCCGCTACGTAGCGCTACTGCCTCGCCGGCGCGTAGGGAAAAGAAGGCCAAGCCGGGGGCGCTGCTCGTCGGGCTCTAGCCAAAGGGGCGCCGCAGCCAGGCCACTCGACGGCGGTGCGCTCACCTGCTGGGGAGCGCGCTCGCCGGTGAGGGGGCCGGCGACGGCGTTGAGTCGTCTGCTCGGGACGGTGAGCGCGCTGAGTCATCTGCTCGCTCATGCTCGCTCTCGCTCGGGCTCCGCACGACTGAGAGAGAGAAGGGGAGGAGTAGAATGGGAGTTAGGGTTTCGGCCGACGCGGCCGGCCGGGCCTTTTTTGTTCGGGCGAGACGGCCGGGCGACCGTCGGATGCGATCCGACGACTCAGATTGATCGGGCCAACTCGCAACAGGAGCGACGGGACAACGGTCAGATCACATTTTTTACCATCCCTACTGACAACACAGGTACCGTATCCTGTAGGCGCATGTCTCGCACTATTCCGCCTGATGGCTGCTGAGACCCGCATCTGCACCTGGGTCACTTCTCAGGCCTCGGCACAACAGGCCTCGGCACGACCGGCTACGAAGGCCGCCGAGCCTCTGCAATCCACCAAGTTAATAAATGCGCAGCATGTTACTTGCAGTGAAGACCATACCGATTAGACATCTACGGGAACTCCCACGACAACGCCATGCTGCTCTAGGAGTAAATACGTCATCGAATAGTCCTTGCTCCACGTGTAGCTCTCTTATGTACTCCTAGTTTCCTCCCTGCGGCTATAAAAGGAGGCAGCCAGGACCGTTTCCAGGACGACGGAGAGAATCACAGATACTTGCACGAACAACACGCCTCGTTCTGTAATTTGATATCACCTCCCTCTCTCGCCTAGCTTGTAACCCCATACTACGAGCACCCCGGTGCAAGGAATACAAGAATACCTTCTCAGACTGGACGTAGGGCATCCATTGCCCGAACCAGTATAAACCTTGTGTCTCTTTGCATCTCCATCCGGAATTGAGAGCACGCAGCACAAATTCACTAGTCGGTTAAGGACCCCCGGTTCCAAAACACCGACAGTTGGCGCGCCAGGTAGGGGCCTCTGCGTGTCAGCTTAGTCATCCCACCAGATTCCGGATGGCAGATCCCGTGCGATCGTTGCGTCTTGGGACGATCGTCTGGTTCGGGAGCCTAGAATTCATGTCTCTAGGGCATGAGTACGACATGGTACTCCTCTCACCCAGAGCGCCATCGACCGACGACGATGTCTTGCTCCGGCAGCCCACGCGCGGGCAGCGCCCGGGCCGCCGCTCCCATCAAGCTCGCCGAGCGCCGCGCGGGCGAATCCACCCTAACACCATGCAAGTACAGAACGCCAATCTGTGCTCCACCGGAATCCCATACCCCGCTGCTGGCACAGAGTCCCTGCACGGGGACCTATCTGGCTTAAGCCTCGATAGGGGAAAAGGGCCGGTGGCGCACAGTGACATCCCATCATCAAGCTCTGTCCCGCCTCCTCCCGAGAAGCCAGCTCTGATAGAGCAGAGCATGGCGACGGCGCCATCCCCGTACCCTTTCGGGCTGACCAATGTCGCCGCCTCCTACGCCAGCGCCCTCGTCTCCATTCATCAACGTCATGCCCATAACCCCATAGTCACAACTCCAATCCACCCCCACTCTGACTCCTCGGAGGAGGACGAGGCGTGGGTTGGAGCAGACTTCTTCGGGATTCACGACCCTGAGGCGATGCACCGCTTTATGATCGCGAGCGACTACTGCTTCGGCCATTCCGATTCCGACGGCGAGGACGCTTACGACCTGACTCGTGAGTGTTTCCATGTCGGTCTCGGAATACCGAAAACACGGCAACGATGGAGGAAGGGCGTAACGCCACACCACCGCAAGACGGGGTCTCCCCGCCGGTGCGGCGGTATCCCCACCCCGAGCAACTTCGGCGCATAGACCTAGAGCGGATCCGTGAGCTTCAAGCCAAGGTCGAGCAAGATCGACTCCTCCTGCAGCAACTCCGAGCCACCCTCGAGCAAGAGCAGCGGGGGCGCGGCAATGGCAGAACGGCCCGGCTGGGGGCTCGCGACGTCAACCGCCGCATTAACGATGATGAAGGGGGCGAGCAACCCCCTGTCTTCAATCGCGCTAGCGAGCGTCGTCGCTGGCTGCGGCAAAGAATATTTGGTCCGAGTGATGCGAGCCCTCTACCACGGAGGGGCGGCGAGTCCACGGCGAACTCGGGGCCTTTCGAGGCGCAGCGGCAAAGCAAGCCAAAAGTTCCGCATCTCGACGACGTGGGGACGCCTCGAAACAGCCCTCGGTGCACGACCGCCTCAGGGCCCCCTCGGTGCACGACCGCCTCAGGGCCCCCTCGATGCACGAGCACCTCAGGGCCGCCTCGGTGCACGACCGCCTCGACGACCAACGCGAGGCGCAAAACGGCCACCACATGGGCAGCAGACGACGGCGCCACGACCACGATGGGGCCGCCCGGGGCTACCGAGTGCACCGAGGCGGTCGCTATGATAGTGGGGAGGACCGCAGTCCTTCTCCCGGGCCGCCTGGCCCTAGAGTTTTCATTAAGGCCGTCCACAGCGCTCGCTTCCTGGCCTGGTTTCGTCAGCCAGCGAATCTCTTGAAGTACAGCGGCGAGACCAACCCCGAGCTATGGTTGGCCGACCTCGTCTCGGCTTGTCGGCTAGGCGGTGCGACGATGACTGCTTTCGTCATCCGCAACCTCCCCTATTCTGTCGGGACTCGGCCATGAGCTTGGCTCGAACACCTTCCCCCTATGCAAATCCACGACTGGCGTGACTTGGTAAAAGTCTTCGTCGGGAATTTCCAGGGCACCTACACGCGCCCCGGGAACTCCTGGGACCTCAAGAGCTGCCGCCAGAGACCGGACGAGTC